GCTGAATCATTTACATAACTATATAAATATTCATGAAACCGTTAATGCTATTAAAACTAGTAAAAAGGCACTGTATGATAGTCATGCATTGCATACACTTTTAGTAGGTTTAAAGGAGCCACAAGGTTCCATGATTCGGTCGATGAAACCTAAAAATTTGGCCGAAGCTCAAGCTTATATTTTAGAAGATAATAACATTAGATATTTACAAAAGGCTGGTGCGCATTCAAATTTCAATAAGCCACCTCAGCCTGCCCTCCCATCCAAACCACATTTTCAAAATTTGTTTAAGCCTCAAATGCAGCCTATGAATCAATTTAGACCTCAGCAAAATTTCAATTATCCGCCTCAATTTCCAAGAGGACCACTTCGGATTCAACCTAGACAAAATCCTCTTACACAAAAATTTCCAACATACGCACAAGTTTTTGGCAATAGACCAAATGTTAATGTTTGGCGTAATCCGCCTAACCAAGGACCTTCCTACAGGCATACTCCTATGAGTGGTGTTAGTAGCATCAATAGAAATAAGAATTTCGAAAATAATTATTTTAGACCTTTTGGCCCAAGGAACTTTGCTTCTCAAGAATTACATAACGTGTAGAGTGATCCTTATGATCAACATTTTGGAAACAACCCTTACGATGACTATTACTCGGAATATTGTCAGGATAGTGAAAATCAGTATGACTGTTCTGATCTATATTACGAAAACCCTGATGAGACACAAAATGATGTTTCTGAAACTGGTCAAAAGCCTGATGAAGAAAAACAAAATTTTCTGATGGCCATGCCTATGATAGAGGAGACATAATATACTTAAACACAATTTATGACAAAACAGAATTACCTTATATTGAAATTAAAAATCCGTCTTTAAAGCTTCTTATTGATACTGGTGCAATGAAATCATTTTTAAATCCTGATCTTGCACAGTTGCATTTTCCAAAATGTTTTATAAAGAACCATTCGAAGTAACTTCAGTTTTTCAGCATTCGAAGAGATACTATTTCGCTAAAATTCCTGCTTTCTCAGAACTCAATGTTAGTGAGCCTATAAAGTTTCATTTGTTCAAATTTCACAAGTATTTTGATGGTCTGATTGGTTTAGATATTTTGAAACTTCTAAATTCGCATATTGACCTTAGAAATTCTATTTTGCATACCAAAAACGCCAAAATTCCAATCAAATTTCATGATTTGAAAAATTGTTTGTCATTTTTCATAGAAATTGAGCCCTACACTGCGGCCCAAGCCAAAATTCCTGTCAATACTTATAATGGAGAGATTTTGATTCCAAATGCCAAAATTAGAGATTGTGTAATCAAGGAAACGCTTGCTCATGCTATAAACGGTTATGCCCTAGTTGACCTAGAAAATCCTAGTAACACTTATCAAGAAATTTCCTTGTATGAGCCTATTGTTTCATTTCCGTTCGACGCAAGCAATTACGCTTTTTTCCACGCTATCATTAAACCATCTGAATCAGTTTCGCCGTTGCGACATGATATCAGTAAACTGATACGAACATCTCATCTCAATAATGAAGAAAAAACTCATATTCTAAAATTGTGTACATAATTTGCCTTTCTGATTTCTAACTTTAGATTTCACCTTTCTGGGGTTGATTTTCGTAGTCCTTTGTGTGGACTTGACAAAAACCGTAGTCTCTTTTGGAATTTCCGGTCGTTCAGTGCGATTTTCGTTTCTGTTTCCGAGAACCTTTTCAGCTTTTTTATTACATTTATCGCTTACCGACTGATATAATATTTTGAGCTCGTCAACACGCTTTTGGTTGTATTATTCATATACGGCCCTACTTAATTCGATATTTGTTACATTTGTTCTGTTGAAAGGAGTATAGATGAGTGAGTGGGGAATGGACACTTTGATTATAATTCAAGATCGCGGTCACCATGAGCTCCTTTATATCTGTTTTCGGGTTTTGAAGCCTTAAAGCACTTAATTTTTCTTTAAGGGTACTGTGGAACCTCTCAACGGAAGAATTAGATGAAGGATTCTGAGGAGTGGTAAAATGGACTTTGATTTTATGTAACTCTCAGAATTCTTTGAAAGTTCTGGCTGTGAATCCGGCTCTGTTATCACATGTTATGTTTACAGGAATTCAATGATGGCTGATAAAATTACGTAGTTTTTCAAGCAAAGTTATTGAATTCTCATCAGTAATATGATCGGCCTGCCCATATTTAGAAAATAAATCCAAAATAGTGAAAAACTTGCTATCAATTTTGAAAGTATCAACGTGAATAATTTCGAACGGGTATTTTGCAATTAGCGGCCCTTCATACGGCGGTTTGTAAGGATTTCTATCGTATTTAGCTAAATTGCAGGTCTCGCAGGAATTGATTAATGCGTTTATAGAATTTTTCATGTTGGGCCAATAGTACCTTAGTTGAAACGTCTTTAGTGTTTCTTGAATTCCGTTATGATTTTTTGAGTGATATTCTTGGACTAATCTTGTTTGTTCCCCTTCGTCGGTGATATCTAAAAGTAGTTTATTTGTAAAAATTAGATGAACCTCGGGGTCAAACAGGGAGCGTACCAATTGTGTGATAATCGGTTTCAAGGGTTCATTATGACAGAAGATACCATATGTATTTTTATAATTATCCAAAATTTTGAACTCAAATTGACATTTAAAATAATTCAATGGGTTGTCTGAAAAAGGAAGTAAATTAATAGGGTGCTCGTAATTATTATTGCTCATCGTTCCCGATCTAGAAGGATTGTATGAAGATGACTGATCAGTGTTCTACTTCCCCTTGTATAGAAGTTTGGTTAGTTTCACACTTATTCTCAAGACATGCTCTTACTAAAGGAATCTGAAGGTATTCAGGATTGTCCTTAGATGTACAGGGGAATTGGTCATCCAAGGCGTTAAGTTCTGCCCTTGATAAGGCATCAGCGACGCAATTTTCTTTACCCTTTTTATAAAGTATATCATAGTCATATTCTTCGAGGCGGACTTTCCAGCGTGCTAGCCTGGATACTGGGTCTTTCAGATTAAAGAGCCAAGTCAGCGGTTTGCAATCTGTTTCAATTCCAAATTTTTTTCCATACAGATAAGGGCGAAAATGTTTTACAGAATCTACTATTTCAAGCAATTCCCTCTCCGTTGCGCTATAGTTCCTTTCGGCATTATTTAACGTACGAGAATAAAATGCCACGGGGCGGTCCTTCTGGAAAGGACAGAACCAATAGCTACGCTACTACTATCGGTTGTCAGTTTGAAAGGTTGCGAAAAATCAGGGTAAATTAAAACTGGCGAATTTGTGACTAAGTCTTTTAATTTTTCAAATGCCTGAATATATGCCCTATTCGTGGTGTCTAATATGGTACCCTTCTTCAACACTCTAGTCATTGGTTGCGCGATGCGAGAATAATCTTTAGTAAATTTTCGATAGAATCCGGTGAGACCTAAGAACCCTTTAATTTGTTTTGTGGTCTTTGGAATAGGAAATTCCACGATTGCTTTTATTTTGTCTGGATTGGGTTTTATTCCTTGTTCGGTGTTAAAGTGACCTAAGAACGGTACCTCTTTGCGGAGAAATTCCGTTTTATCTACCTGTACCTTTAGATTATAGGTTTTCAATTTTTTAAATACGAATTCTAAGTGTTGAATGTGCTGTTCTAATGATTTGGAATATACCAAAATATCGTCCATGTAGACAATACAACTTTTATACAACTGGTCACGAAGAACGTCATAAATTAAGCGCTGAAATGTCGCCGGAGCATTTCGCAAGCCAAAAGGCATCCGGACATATTCGAGGTGCTGATTATTTACCGTAAAGGCTGTTTTCTCAATAGATTCAGGATCCATCTCAATTTGATGAAATCCTTGAGAGAGGTCGATTGTCGAAAAAAACGAGCATTTGCCAAGATTGTCCAGAATTTCGTCAATTCTGGGCAATGGGTATTTGTCCTCTATGGTTTTGAAATTTAATTTCCTAAAATCGATAACAAGTCGAAATTTACGCGGATGCGTCTAAGCGCTTCGGGACGATCCATACCTGAGAGGAGTAGGGACTAATACTTGGCCTCACAATTTTGTTATCGATCAATTTTTGTACTTGCATATTAATTTCTTCCTGGAGAACAGGGGGGTACCTAAACGGTTTCTGATAAAGCGGTATGTCATCGGTTGTTCGAGTCTTGTGCTTAACGTGATGAGTACACGTCAAGTCTGTCCCCTCGAAGTGAAATATTGTTTTATATTTTTGGCAAAGTTCGAGGATCTTTTGCTTTTCATCCGGTGAGAGATGATCGGTACGCATTAATTGAGTTATGTTGAAATCATTTTCTTGGATATCAGGTTTTTTAATGTTGTATTCAAGCAAAGAATCTACATCCATGGGCTCTATGCAACATATCTCGTCTGGGTTAGAGTGTTCTACAGGAATAGGTATGGTGACGTGGAAATCGCGAGCCGTAGATATGCAATCAGGAAATATGATTCCATTTATTTCAAATTCCGGAACAACGACGGGACCATTCTCAATTTTGACTGGTATAGTCATATGATTGACATATTCAAGGCGTGTCGGTTTGATTGGTGTAGTCCTTTCGATAACGAATGGAATACATCGATTTTTTAACTGAACAACTTGAATGGTATAGTCAATTTTTGCACCTAATTTCTGAAGATCCCTAGCAACAGATCAAACTTTTCGTGCCAATCGACTACCTTGAAACTTAGGACTTTACTTATGCCAAATTCATTCAGGATTGGGTATAGAACATTTTTTGAACCATGAGAAATCTTATTTAGCGATTTTACTTAAAAATTTTGTTCAAATTGAAATTCAGAAAAATAGGTATCTGCAATGTCGGAGTTCATAATGTTTGAAGTAGCTCCCGTGTCCACCAATATTTTAAGGCCTAACTTCGGGAGAACTATATAGGGGAGCTTCGAAAGCTTGTAAATGTTATTTAAGTCGACTGATTCGGTTCCGAGGCTGGTATTGGAAAATTTCCAACCTGGGCACTATCATTTTCAAAAGTAGCTACCCCACTTTCCAAGTAATCAAAGTCTTGCTGATCAACGTACGGGGCTTCAGAAAAATAGTGATCGTATTGATCAGGAAATTCAGAGCCTTCAGCCTCCTGATTATGGAGCTCTTCCACAATCACATTTGGACGGCTTGTTTGTTGAAAAAAGTTGTGGCGATACGGCTGTCTTATAGAATTATTTGGGCGATAATTACTACCATCGACGGACATAGGTGTTGGCTTATTAGGTTGGGAATTCCTAGAAATTTGTTGATTTGAATTTGGAAAACGATTTGACATTAACTGTGGCTGACTTTGTTGCGGCCGAGGAGTTAAATTGTTTGGTCTGGGTGGACCAACTCTGGGTGGTGATAATTGAAATTGTAGCCTGAACTGATTTTGGAAGCTATTATTGAAATTATTTACCCTCTGATTTGGTACTGGTTTGGGAAACTGACTATTTTTGCGTAGCGGTTCGTCTTTATCTCTCATGAAATTGGGCATAGAATGCTCATACCAAAAGTTTTCCATTTATTGAATTTTACGCAAAAGCTTCTGGCAAACTATTCACGTGTGAGTGCGCAAAAGTATTACCATACTGATCCTTCAATCCAAAAATGAAGCGTTTTAAAGCCTGATCTGATCTTTGAAAAGCCTGAAGATTTTGAAAATTGCATTTTGAATGTTTTGAAAATTTTGAAAATCTTGGAAACTGAAAATTTGGAAAGTATAACAATATTGAGAATTGTAAGAATTTGAACATTTAAACTAATTATTTCAAAAATTTTGTTTCAAGAATTTTGAGAATGCTTGAAATTATTTCAAGTATTTCGAACAAATGTACGGAGAAATATATGTGTGAAATATATACTAATATCTGCATTGAATTACTGCGTTAGGATATGTATAAAAGTACCAGCGTCAAAAAACTGAATCCTCTCCCACCTCACAACTACAAAGCTTTTTCGTCCTTGGCATAGTAAAACCTTGTGTGAAAGTTTCATCTAAATCCGAGCGAACTTCATTTCAAAAGATCAATTTATGGTTTCCTTTTAATCTTATTTTCATTCTGTCTTTTTCATCACCATCTACTACTCGTATTTAGTATAAATTTGATAAAGTATGTAAAGACCCCTGCTACAAGAAACCCGGTACAAATCATTGCCACCGAAGATTGATATAATTAATTTTAAATCATAAGTTTGATTCATCAAACAATACTGTGTAGGTGTCAAATATTGGACAACATTAATATTGGAATAATACGCTTTAAGTGATGGATTGCCAAGATAGCTCCAGCATTCATCTAGCGCACCTTTAATTCAGCCTCCTCCATTGTCGTTTCTACACGTCTGAACCAAAGCTAACTGAGAACTGGATAGTCCTTTGCTTGCATTTCATAGTAGAGGGAACCGTTAGATCAATTAGTTATGGGTATACCTATATGCTTACTCAGTCTTGTACTGTCGATTTTGTGAGGACGTTCTCACAAGAAAACTTTGAGTGTATTTGGTAACAGAGGAGTGTATAGGTATTTTAAAAATAGCTTTAGAATGAGCGCGAAACGCTCTCGTTCTCCATGTAGCCAGTTTGAAAGTCCCAACTACAGCGGCAAATATCACGTGGCCTCACAACAGTGACGAAACCTGTATAGGTGTGCGTGAGCGTGAGCGTGTGCGTGTGCGTGTGCGAGTGCGTGTGCGTCTGCGTGTGCATGTGCGTGTGCGTCTGCGTGTGCATGTGCGTGTGCATGTGCGTGTGCGTGTGAGTGTGGGTGTGTGTTTGTGTGTGTGTGCGACAGAGAGGATTTCACATAAATACACTCGCATCCGCTGCATCACACCAGTTGTGTCTGTTAGTACCAGCATACTTTATCCCCATAATCAATGTCATCATGGAAGCAACCAAGAATGATTTAGATGACGTTGCAGTCCTTCATAATGATTTGGAAGCAATTATAGCTGATCTGGAAGGCGACGGAATTCAACTGGCTCAGATGACAACCGACATAGAACTCGAGATCATTAAAATTAGACCTGCTAAAGCTGCCGTGGTAGAAAATACAACGGATAAACCTACAACAACGGTTCCAGCAATGAAGGTTCACACGTCGCCTTCAAAATCGTTGAACCAGACGAAGCATGTATTTGAAAAAACAAAAAACCACCAAGCAGCCGAACAGTCAAACTGACAGAAATGCTTTCAAAGAAAGTATAATGTTAATGAAATCGGACATCCAAACTACCGAGCGACGATTGGCGCTGGAGATGGATAAGAGCAAAAAACTGCGAGATCTTCATCAAGACGAGGAACTTCTAAAACAGTTAGACGAGGACACAAAACGCATGCGTGAACAGAAAAATATTAGGAAAAGGCAAATGGACGATGCGATGAAAAGGGTTGACAAGTTAAAAGAAATAGCACAACGGAAGAGGGGGTAAGCTTTTAGAATAAAAAGAAACACTTTTACTTTCATTTGATTTTTGAAAATGTACATATATACGTAGAATGTAATAAACCTTAAAATTAATTTTTAATTTAATTTTTTCCGCCATGTATAATACGAGTATTATATATTTCAAAAATTGATTAGGTCACAGCCCTACTGAGCGAGGGCAGTGGCAAATGCTTGTTCCGGAAGTTGTTGCATCCAGTATACAACTTCTTCCCGTCCAAGTAATTGTGCACGCGTTAAGGAATACCTCAGTACCGATTGCCGGGTGGCGGTACAAGTCCGCCAACGGGCCACTTTAGGTCTAATTCACTAACACGTAAAAAGAAGGTGGTAGACAAGGACCAGTCGACCGAGGCGTTACCACCCGCTAGCTTTTCCCAGGGTGTCTTATAAATGTCCGCATGTTTCCACACCTAAGCTATGCAGTCGGTTATCTTCCAAAACAAAGAAATTAATGATGATGGATCCCTCGAGCACTAAGAACTCCGGGCGTCAACTCACTCCACTCTCGGAATGTCCGAGTGGAGGGTGGGCTCGAGGGAACAACACCGAAGATAAAATTTGTTTTTCGAACATCTGCGGGATCAACAGCAACATTGATTCTGTTCATCACTACCTGCAATCCAATCGTCCCGCCGTGCTTTTCTGCACCGATTAACCATCTCAACTTCCCAAACTACGAGGTGCACTCCAATCTGAGAAAGAACTGGGGAGTTGTGGCTTTTGTCCGCAGCAGTCTTTCCTGCTCCAGGGATCTTTCTTTGGAATCAGACCGGAAGGACATTCTGTGGCTTCGCCTCAATTCCAAAACATCACCCAAATTTATTTGCTGCCTTTATCGCTCTCCCTCGAACCATAACTGGGATGACCTACTCGAATACCTCGCCGTCCAGATCGACTTCCTGAACATCAATCACCCCGCTTCAGAGGTAGTTCTTCTCGGTGATTTCAATGCCCATAATGAGCTTTGGTTGGGCTCAAATAAAACCGATGAAGCAGGTCGGGCAGTCGAAGCGTTCTCTCTTACTCAAGGGCTGACCCAGCTGGTGACGAGCCCTACTTTTTTCCCCCGAGTCTCGTCACACGCCACTAGCCTGCTGGATCTCTTTCTGACCACGCATCCTGTCTCTTACAGCACTGCTGTCCTGTCCCCCCTGGGTAACTCAGATCACGGTGTTGTGGAGGTTAGGTTTCGGAGAAGCCGCTGTGGCAGTAGAAACTCGTACAGGCCGCAAAACTTGGCATTACGGACATGCCGACTGGGAGGGGCTCAGAGACTTCTTCTCTAGCTTTCCTTGGAGAGATGTCTGTTTCTTTGACGCGGATGCGTCGACTGTCTGTTCTTCGATAACCGAAATTATCCACGTCGGAATGGAGGAATACATCCCTCACACAGTGAAAGTTCCTAAACCAGGGTCCAACGGCTGGTTTAACAAATCGTGTGACACTGCTCGCCAGCAGAAGATCAAGGCACACAGAACCTACTTACAAAACCCCACTGTAGAGAACAGACAAGCCGACGTCGAGTCCAGAAACAAATATAACGGAGCGGTTCGCAATGCCAAAAACCAGCATGATATAAAAGTTAGGCACAGGGTAATGTCGCAGCGCAATGGCAGTCGGTCTTTCTGGGTGCTGGCCAAGCAGATTGAGAAGAACTTCTCACACAGTAGCTTTCCACCACTTACGTGTCAGGATGGAATTATTGTATTCGACTCAAAGGCCAAGGCGGAAGTACTAGCCAAGAACTTTGCTGCCAACTCCACCAAGGATGTCCCCACCAACGCCCAAGTGCCGTCAATTCAAAGGGTTCCCCACACTATGCGGGAGGTGACATTCAGGCATAAGACCGTAAGACGAATGCTCTTGTTGCTCGACATCAACAAAGCTTCTGGTCCGGACTTAATTCCTGCCATTGTACTGAAGAGATGTACAGCGGGGCTTGCTCCAGTTCTTTTGCGTCTCTTCCAGATATCTTATGAATCCAGCACCTTCCCAGAAAACTGGAAATTTGCTCATGTACAGCCCATCCCAAAAAAGGATCCAAGACCGACCCTTACAACTACTGTCCTATCAATACAAATTTAACATACAGGTCGCCTAGCCGTGGGAATGCAGTGGTCGGGATGAATATCACGGCAGCAATTGATGATTTGGGGATGTCTGGTAACAACGTATGAAACTCGCTAACTTCACAAATTTGAAGATTTTAACAATTTCTTTGAAAATGATGAAAGATATGTCTGATTTGGCAAGGTAATATCGTGGCCAAATGGCAGTCGGTCTTTCTGGACGCTGGCCAAGCAGATTGGAAAGAACTTCTCACACAGTAGCCTTCCACAACTTACGTGTCAGGATGGAACGGTTGTAAGTGACTCGAAGGCCAAGACTGAAGTGCTTGCCAAGATCTTTGCGGCCAACTCCTCCATGGACGCCCCCCAACAAAGCTTCTGGTCCGGACTTGATTGTACTGAATAGGTGTGCAGCGGAGCCTGCTCCAGTTGTTTCGCGTCTCTTCCAGATATCTTATGAATCCGGAAAACTGTAAATTTGCTCATGTTCAACCCATCCCAAAAAAGGATCTAAAACCGTCCCTTACAACTACAGGCCTATTGCTCTGCTTTCTGTTATAAGTAAAGTGATGGAGAGGTGCATAAATCGCGAGCTTCTGGACTACCTCGAACGTCACAGCTTGATTAGCGACAGGCAGTACGGTTTCCGGCACCAACGATCCACAGGGGACCTCCTAGCTTACGTCACGCAACTGTGGAGTAAACTCATCCAGTCTCATGGTGAGGCTCATGTCGTTGCTCTTGACATCACGAAAGCGTTCGATCAGCTGTGGCACGCTGCCCTCTTAAGCAAACTTCCATCCTATGGCCTCCCAGAAAAGCTTTGCAGATGGGTGGCTGACTTTATCTCTGGCCGCAAGATATCCGTCGTAATTGACGGATTCTCCTCTTCATCCCACAACGTCAACGCGGGTGTTCCCCAGGGATCGGTCTTGGCTCCAACACTGTTTCTCTTACATATCAACCACCTCCTTTCCTGCACGATCAACCCAATCCACAGCTTCGCTGATGACAGCACTCTACATGCAGGAATTCAGAGTGACAAGCCGATCTCTGCCGCTGAGCTGGAAAAAAGAAGACTAGCGACGACTTCTTCTCTGACAAGAGACCTGGAGGCTACCACTGCTTGAGGACGCAACAATCTTGTACAGTTCAATGCTTCCAAAACACTGTACTGTACTTTGACGAACAAAAAGCGTCCTAGCGCTCATACAGTTTCGATGGACGGCCGAGTTCTACCAAAGAGCCATTCATTTCGGCTGGTCGGAGTCCAGATCCAGAAAAACTAACGGGCTTTGCTCCTCAGAGCTCTCTTCCATGATGCCGCCGCGCGATGTGCCTGCCAGACAGACCCGCCTGACTTCGGCGTCCCATCCTAACCGTGTCAAACTTCGTATATCCAGAACTGGCCGATACGACCGCTCCTTTGTCCCGAGGGTGTCTAGATTGTGGAACAAACTACAAGAGGAAGCTTTTCCCAGTTCTGCTAACCTTAGGCAGTTCAAAGGTCGTGTTAACAAAATTTCTTTGGGCTTCTGCCTGCGCCGCTGTTTCGATATAGAAAAAAAAGGTCCGGTCAAGTAGAGGTATGTTTGTAATTTTCGAAATACTTATTATTCCTGGGATTAATAAGTATTTTCTTCAGGACTGATTTTTCCAAATCCGGCAGACCTATCAACATTTATTGACCATTTGTTACCCCTACTTTCGTTGACTAAATAATCTAACTGACTGTAAATCATTTGTACTGATAAAACCCTTATTTTTTTAAATTTGAAAATATGTGTACAAAAAATACAAATATATATGTTATATATTTTAAAAAGCTTTATTTATCTATCTATATATGCACAAAATAAATATAACAATCAATACATTAAAAACTAGGTCTAATAATCAAATTAATATATATGTATAAGTATACAAAAAAGCTTAGGGCCGATTTCACAATTTAACAAACTATTATTCTGCACCAATATTGTACGAGTACCAAACACTGTAAAATATGAAATGACAGCTTGTCATTGAAATGTTTTCAGTTTATTAAATATTATGAAACTATATAAAACTGAGCCAAAATTTAAAAAAAAATGCTTGATGTCAGAGTAAAATCCATTTCTTTCAGTTTAGCTGAAGGTTTCTCATTGTTAGTAGATGTCTTATGGGGATTCGGTCTCAAAACTTCCAAAATCCGCCACCAGAGGCGCTGGCGTCGCGCGCCATTGATAGGTTGTTGGACGGAATCTGTATTCATGAGTTGGGGATTCCGCCGCTAGATGGCGCTGTCAAACCAGACGGAATCTGTGTGTCATTGGACACCTGTCATGCGTCATTGGGCATCTCACGCATAGATGGCGTTAAAACGTCATCTGTCATACGTCATTGGACACCTGTCATTGATGGGTTGGGCATCTCGCGCATAGATGGCGCCGATTTGTTTGGCGGTGTACAAACCTAACGGAATCTATGTGTCATTGGACACCTGTCATTGATGGGTTGGGCATCTCGCGCATAGATGGCGCCGATTTGTTTGGCGCTGTACAAACCAAACGGAATCTATGTGTCATTGGACAGCTGCCATTGATGGGTTGGGCATCTCGCGCATAGATGGCGCCGATGTCGCACCTGTCTGGTGTTGGCGTGGATTACGGGGGGCATTCAGAACGTGTATACAGGGGTGCATCGAAAAATAGCGGATCGATGGACCGACGGTATATCGTTAAATCGTATATAGCAAGGCGTGACCTAAATAGCGTGGTGGGCTCCTCTGGTCGGTCGGTCGGTCGGTCAGAATGTCTCATAACCTGTATACGATGTACTGTTATTATTATACAGGATGATACCGTTCAAAATGAAAATAGTATAGACATTCTGACAATTATTTCGCAAACCAGAGGTATTTTCAATAAAACTA